TATATATATATATATATATATATATATATATATATATATATACCGGGTGGCCCAAAAAAAAGTACTCCTGTTTGATTCGTAATAACATCTAAACAAGTATAGCTTTTAAAGAGAAATAACTTGCATCAAATAGAGGAAGGACTAACTTAGACTTTGATATATTACAGTTGTATTTCACTTAAAAATTCACGGAGATATTAATCTTTAAATTTGGGAGGATATTTCTGGATGTGTCTGAAATATGCAAAAATCGGCGTATCAAATATTATTAATCAAGATTTGCCCGACTGAAACATGCACTATTACCAGTAAATAAATGACACTTGACAAATTGTTTATTATGAAACAAAGTATTATTATATCTACAAAATACAAGCAAGATTCATTCGTCCGAAATTCGCGTGTGTTCCTAGCACGAATACGTTTCCTTATTTCATGAGACCACTGCATCGCGAAGGATCGTCAGTGGATCGTTCGTAGTTCTGAATTAGGGCATGCTGTCACAACGGAATTGTGAAGCTCTTCTAACTTCTGCAACGTTCTGAAATCTTGTTAAGAACACCCAAACTCTTTTGCCGTTTCTTAATCTTGGCAAGTTCATGGAGTAAACTGAGAATTATATGAAACACAATCAAACCATACAACTCAATCAAACCATACAGACACATTCCAAAATATGCTCCCCATTTTTAACATTAATATCTCCGTGAATTTTTAAGTTAAATACAACTGTAATATATCAAAATCTAAGTTAGTCCTTCCTCTATTTAATGCAAGTTATTTCTCTTTAAAAACTTTACTTGTTTAGAAGTTATTACGAATCAAACAGGAGTACTTTTTTTTGGGCCACCCTATATATATATATATATATATATATATATATATATATATATATATATATATATATATATATATATATATATATATATATATATATATATATATATATATATATATATATATATATATATATATATATATAACAAAGTTTTGTAACAACATAGTAGTAACAAGTAGAACAAGCACAAGTGAATACGAGTAGCAACTGAGTAGCAACTATAACTGAGTAGCAACATATACCATTTTTAAGATTAAATAAATATATATATATATATATATATATATATATATATATATATATATATATATATATATATATATTTAAATTAAGGTACAACAATCAACAAAATCCACTATAGGCATCTTTATTACTAAATAGTTTCGTACCACAAAATGTGGCATTCTTCAGATAAATTGACCTAAGGTCAATTTACCTCATTAGGTCAATTTACCTGAAGAGTGCCACATTTTGTGGTACGAAACTATTTAGTAATAAAGATGCCTAGTGGATTTTGTTGATTGTTGTACCTTAATTTAATTTATATATATATATATATATATATATATATATATATATATATATATATATATACACTGGATCCAGAAAAGTTTGACCTTCGAATATATATATATATGTCGGCCATTTTGAATTTTCTTGGGTTAATTATACGCGAACGCATACATCAAATGTCGCTCGCGACGTACTGTATATTGCAATATTCCAACAGCTCAAATAAGTAGAGGATCATTGCTTGAAGTTCTTACACATATTTGTAGTAGCTATCTAATGAACATTTGAGGGTTGTTAGCTAATTAACTCTTGTCACAATTTGGAACCTGATCTTTTTGGCATGTCGTAAATATATATATATATATATATATATATATATATATATATATATATATATATATATATATATATATATATATATATATATATATATATATATATATTTAAATTAAGGTACAACAATCAACAAAATCCACTATAGGCATCTTTATTACTAAATAGTTTCGTACCACAAAATGTGGCATTCTTCAGATAAATTGACCTAAGGTCAATTTACCTCATTAGGTCAATTTACCTGAAGAGTGCCACATTTTGTGGTACGAAACTATTTAGTAATAAAGATGCCTAGTGGATTTTGTTGATGGTTGTACCTTAATTTAATTTATATATATATATATATATATATATATATATATATATATATATATATATATATATATATATATATATAGTATATAGTATATATATATATATAGTATATATATATAGTATATATATATAGTATATATATATATATATAGTATATATATAGTATATATATATATATATATATATATATATATATATATATATATATATATATATATATATATATATATATATATATACACTGGATCCAGAAAAGTTTGACCTTCGAATATATATATATATGTCGGCCATTTTGAATTTTCTTGGGTTAATTATACGCGAACGCATACATCAAATGTCGCTCGCGACGTACTGTATATTGCAATATTCCAACAGCTCAAATAAGTAGAGGATCATTGCTTGAAGTTCTTACACATATTTGTAGTAGCTATCTAATGAACATTTGAGGGTTGTTAGCTAATTAACTCTTGTCACAATTTGGAACCTGATCTTTTTGGCATGTCGTAATTTATTCTTTTGCATCCTTAGAGATTTAGACGCTTATTAGCATGCCTCGATGAATTTCTTTGTTTATTCTTTCGTATTCACTTGTGCTTATTTTATAGCTGTAACCTACGTCCAGAATTATTATATTAAAGAGTTTGGCAACCTAGAACGGCAACGACAACTGCAACGGGGAAAATATAATTGCTTATATTGTTGTATTTGAGCCAAAGTATACGTTACTACATTTAATTTGCCTCATTAAGTATTCCTGTTTCTTTCAAACGTACCCTTAAATAAAAATAGTCCGCGAATTCAATAAAACTCTCAAAGAACATCGAACGAATGAATTGTTGCCGTAGTCATGCACCGTGAAAATGATGCAAATCACGTATTAGTTTCAACAACTACGGCATTGCACAACGCTTAAGACCATGTAATTTACATTCGCCTTTGTCTTTGAGGATTAATGCTATTGTTAATGACCATATTGCCGTTGCGGTTGCCCTTGTATTTGCCGAACTCTCTATTATATTTTGCCAACGGAAATTTTAACGGAATCGATAGTCATTCGATATTTCATCCCCTGAAACTCAGCACACGCAGCATTCGTGACCTGGCGAAGCAGAAACGTTCATTTCCTACTAGCCATTATGTTCATTTCCAAATGTTCATTTCCTACTAGCCATTATGATTATGTCCAAAAGACATCAATCAATGATTCTTTTATTCATTTGAGCTGTTGGAATAATATTGCAATATACAATACGTTGCGAGCGACATTTGATGTATGCGTTCGCGTATAATTAACCCAAGAAAATTCAAAATGGCCGACATATATATATATTCGAAGGTCAAACTTTTCTGGATCCAGTGTATATATATATATTATATATATATAATAATATATATATATATATTATATATATTATATATATATATATATATATATATATATATATATATATATATATATATATATATATATATATATATATATATATATATATATATATATATTAAAATGCTGGACTACATCATTTCAATGCGATGACTATCGCCTATTTACATTTTGTATCAGATAAAGAAATCAACAAATGCAATTGAGACGGAGAAATGTTTGGATCTTGCTAGATTTTGTAAAGTTTATCGTGAATTGACAAAACGTTACAGTAAACGTCGTAGTGAATCTGAAGAGCAAAATTGTGTAACCGTAAGTACTCTGACTAGTAACTAAACATTGTTTTTGTCTAGAGAATGGTAAGATCGGTTGAATACTGTATATTTAACTGCAAGTATACATATTACATGTATTCTAGTAATTTTTTCCAACTCATACTTTGAGAATATTACGTATCATTTAACTAGAGAGAGTTTACACTAAAACTGCCCCCGGCTGATTATGGTGTACTAACTACAGTAGCTGTTATAAAAAATGATCATGCCTTATGGCTTACAAATATTAATACGACAAAATGCTATTACTATTTTCTGACTTTCTTTTAAAACGCTTAGAAGGTTGATAAAATTGGACGAACTTTAAAAGTGAAACAGTAACCACGTGTAACTTGATCCTTGTGCATCTATCCGGCTGAAGGAATGGCGCTTTTCAATATAATGGAACAATGACTACGAGTCCCTTGTTACAAACGTTTTATAATGTGACCGTTGTGTGTTAAGCTTTGCTCGATTTTTAGTGTGAAGTTTCTTCGAAACTTCACAGTATTGTGATGACTGGGAGGAAATTCAAACTTATCAGTCAGTCAGTCAGTCATTCAGTCAGTCAGTCAGTCAGTCAGTCATTCAGTCAGTCAGTCAGTCATACAGTAAACTTTCCGGGGGGTGTATACGATTTATGTTCGTAGTGATTTATTGTGCTTTGTCAGTACTTTGAAGGTTATTTAAGCAATTTCAGTTAACTTATTTACATATTCTGTTATCCTTTTGCCAAGTTCACAAAAATTTTGTAGAATCGCTTTTGTTATTGTATTTTTTTTGTAAATTTTAGAACATTCGCTTCTCATGTTGTGTAAAGGATCTTTACCCCGGAACACCCGATTTTTTTTAGTAGCGCAAATGCGCATGCGCTATCAAGCCGTAGATCACGATGGCGTGACGATATGCTGGGAAGGAGTGACAGTGTTGTTTTCAGATGTATAAACATTTCAGACGTGAATATTGAGTAAATTTTTGAAAATCTACGCAATATATAAATTGATCTTATGCATTACGGGCGTTCAATTAAGTGTCGATAATATTTAGACGGTATATTCATTATACAGAGCTAGGAAGGAGCTAGACCGCCTAGACAGTGCAGTCAACACTCAAGTGTATAAACATTTCAGACGTATTAAATATTGAGTCGAAAATCTTTGAGATTCTAGGCATTCAATTGAGTGCTGATATTATTTTCACGGTATACTCATTATACGGAGGTACAGTACGTACGAAGAAGCGAGACAGTGTTGTTTTCAAGTATATAAACATTTCAGACATGAATATTGAGAAAATCTTTGAGATTCTACGCAATAATATAATATATAAATTGATGTTATAATTACCGGCATTCAATTAAGTGCCAATCGATATTATTTAAACCGTGTATTCATTATACATTGTTATTGACTGTAAAAGGTGCTACATCACAGAACTCAGTACAAAGAGCGAAAAATTGCATCAGATCAATAAAGCGTAAACAACTATTAAACAGAAGCGGGTGTTTGTACAGGCGTTTACGAAGAAAATATTGCGAGACGAAAGAAATCAGTTGAGTCAGAGCTCCTTATTTAAATAAGAAAGACGAGGAGATAGCCAATGTGTTATCGCCAACGTGTTATCGCCAATCGCTTGGCTCGCCAACAAGATTTATGCAATGGAAGAAAAAAGCAAGGAGGTACATGTAGCCAACATGTACTGTCACGGACCTTGTTTACTGTCTAGCACAACGCCGTTGTCAACGGTGCAAACTCGTGTTCAGTGCAACGATAACTCTACCAGATCTTACGAGAATCAATCTGTAGTATTCTGTATACAGAACTGTATCAAAGCTTGTCAAAACTGCTTTAAACACTGCAGCTATAACTGTGAAACTATTGAAATCTAAAGTGACATTATTCAACACATGCGAAAAGCTGAAAATAGACACAACGTGACCTTCGAAAAGTCAAAGGTCAATGAGACTTGTTATTGTCAAACATGTCACAATTAGGTTAAAATGCGGAAGCGGATGGAGCGGATCCACGGAACGGATATGCGGATAAAATATGGAACGGATGAAGATAAAGTGCTTCCTTTCAATGATATAACGACGTAGTGCTTATTATTCATAACATATTGTATACAGCTATTTCAATTATAGTTTTAGATAAGTTTAGCATAGCAGTAGCCTCGTGGGGATGCTTTTAGCGACAGCTGCAAATACAAATGCAAATGAAAATTTAGAATATGCAAAATTTGGTTGTTGGTGAAACAATTGAAATTTAGCATGCGTGTAGCATCACAATAAATAGATAAATTGTGTCAGTTTCACAAGGCACGTTTCTGATGTGTCGGGCTTGTTTCAAACGTCGTGCGCCGAGCGCATGAGATGAAATGCCTTTGGTAATTGTTTATTTCGTAGTGTAAGCGATCAGCTTTTCTAGGTTGTCGGCGAACCTATATAGTTCTTGCAGTGTCTTTTTCAATTTGAAACTTCACACTATCCTTGGATCCCTAGTTTATATTTGTATTTGTTTTTGACTGACTGATGTGTGAACCGAGTCTTTTGGTTCCTGTTTCGATTAATGTGACAAACCGTATAGTTGATACTTGATAGACACGGAGTTTTTAATCTTGTGTTACTATTTGACCTTAAACAATTTATATATGTTGCGCGTGAGGGGACTTCAACACCTCCCATTGTTTTTTAGGTATTATCCACCAATGCTTTGCGGGCAAAAAACGTAAATACTTAAATTTCTCTGCCTCTGGTATATACCGTATATATATATATATATATATATATATATATATATATATATATATATATATATATATATATATATATATATATATATATATATATATATATATATATAATATTACGTGCGGGAACTTCAATATATTCCTCTTCGGGTTTTGGCCCTTTGGGGCCAAAACCCTGCGGGGGCAATAATTTTACGTTTACAGAGTGGTACACATATAGATAGTGATACTTGGCCATGTGGAGACACTTTATTTTCGATTGTGTTTTTTTGTTTTCAAACTGTGCTCACAAACGTTAAATACACTGTATAGCGGTTCAACATAGCTAGCTTATTGTTTTCCAACATGTTTCTTTTTTCAGAGAGTTGATTTGGACAATCAAGATCTTACAATATCTGTAATTCTCTCAAGGTAAAATTTTAAAAATTAATGTGAAGAACTTTAAATCTTCGAACTTCAAAAATGCTTTAGTAATGTTTGAATACTAAATCTAAATTTCCTTTCTACTTTGTCGCAAAATGTTTGTAAAACGACGTGCACTAAACAAGTGTAAATATCTGACTGTCTGTACTTAATAAATATATTAAAAAAATACAGTCCCACGTGTGAAGTGTCTTGAATCGTGAGCCAGCAACCAGCGTGACTTAAATCGCACTAAGTAACGCGACATACTTTTCCTATAAAAATATTTGTGTTTTTAAATATAAAATAAAATAAAATAAAACAAAAGGAATCGTCTTAAGCAAAATTTGTATAAAATATTGTACTCTGCAGTCTGCACTTGAGATGATATATACTTGTGGAACTATGTGCTTTTCTGTTATATGCGAAATATAGCAGTTACTCCATGGCAAAACCTAAAGTTCTGTGCGATGAGAAACTAAAGTCAGAAATTGTAACATTGAATAAATAAATTACAATGGTTTCAAAGGCACTGATTGTTTTAATTGATTATTTTACTGTTTGGAATTTAATAATTTTTAATTAAATATAATTTTTAATAAATTTATTATATACATGACAAAATTACTGCAATCTGATTGGTTAAGAGGAGTGCAAGTATTTCATTAATTGCACTCTCCAGGAGTGCAATTAATGATTTTCGTAATGGCTGGGGGAGCGGGAAATCAAAACAACAAAAATTCAATATGGCGGCCAAATTTGCCTTACAAACGTGGACGAATTTAACTAAATTTTGGCACCAGAATGAGTTTAAAAAACATAGTATGGCAAAAAGAGCGTGTGGAAAATACCTGGAAGTAGTTTTAAAAAATAATATCGGCGGTATGCAGCGAAACGTGACTATGTAAGTCTGTAATATAATTTATAAAGATTTTCTTACTCTAAAATATGTTGTTTGAGTTTGAATCATGTGTTCTAGTTTAAGTTATATGTGCCTTTATGAGTTTATGATTATTTTCCAAGTTTGCTTATGCCAAATTGCTTACAAAACAGTTGAAAACTCTTGGCAAAATGCAGTTGAAATTTAAAGAAAGTGATTTTGTCATCCATATAATAAATAAATAATCACACGGGCAAGTCGTGCAATTAATGATTAACACTACTCGTGACACATTTTTCAAAAATCACTCGTAGTTTTAATCATTAATTGCATGCACTCTTTCCCGTGTGATTACCTATACTAATTCAGTCGCCAAGTGTATATAAAATTACTTCCTATATAGGCACCTGCAGTCGATATGACTTATTTTTATTTCTCAGTTTTCGTAGAATGCATGCAAGTTTTAACTTACCAGAAGAGGCAGCAAACATATCGCAAAGTGTTTTTTTTTTATAGCGTTGATGCTGTTCAGACAGAACCAGTAGAGGAATGTTGTATATGTATGGAGAGACATTCTGATGTTTCACTGGCTTGTGCTCATAGTTATTGTAAAGAGTGTATACATCAGTGGTAAGATATACTGTATACTATATCTGTGATATTCGCTCCGGCGGATCGTGTGCAATTTGTTGTTTTTATCACGTTATGAAGTCATCTGTATCTACACGTATAACTGAACAGGCGACTGCAAAAATCACAATACATTTAAGGTGTTAGTTACAGTAATTCGGCACTATACCCCATTTTTCCAATAACGTTTACTCATTTCTATAGACCTGCCGAAAGTAACAACTATTATGAAAAAATTGTTCAACTTCAAAATTTTGCGTAGCCTAAAATATATAGGTCTGTTTTAGTACGCGAAAAAATGTCACTCGTTTGACTTGCACTTGGAAGGTTACAATTTAGCTCCTTGGCTTCTTTAAGTACTGTAAGTACTTAGTTAAGATGTTTTCAATTAAGGTACAGTAAATTAAAATAAATATTTTATGGAAATAGAAAACTTATCTACAGTATTTTTAGGTTTGATGAGCACAATACATGTCCAATTTGTCGTAAAAAAGTTCAAGGTCAGGACGAATTCTGGGTATTAGCAGACAAACCAACTGAAAGTGAAATGGCTGATTACGTCATGGGTTTTACAGACGAAGATAAATATTCATGAGGATGAAATTCCTGTTTTAATATCTGTACATGTCCCAAATTTGCTTTAGTTCACACAAGACAATAGCGGGGATCTTAAGCAGGTAACCGACAACGCGACGACGACGGCTAAAACAAAGTTCTTCAATAAGTGCTTGCAAAGGAAACTTGTGTTTGATCCTTCGTATGAATTTGATGCCTATGTATGAATTTACCACATTTAAGGTTACAGAACACCTTTGAGGGTTAATTTTGCCTAAAATTTTTTTATTGGTTTCCATGAAAGCGTTAGACTAGTTCTACTATCTGACCAAATTTGAACGAAAAATGTTGAAAACTCGCAGAGTTATTTAATAAAATACATTTCGCTGCAATAAGAAAAACATTGAAAATGTAATATTCAAATTCAATTTTCTCCCGAAGAATTTTTCGGCAATTACTGATTTTCAAACGAGTGTTCTCCTGCGGGTTTTAACCAATTTTTCTCAAATTTTCACACGACATAGCTAAAGACGTCAGTTTCAAAATAGTGTTCGGCTTTTTCTTAGTTTTGGATATTTTAATAATAAAGAGCAATTCACTCAAACAATTCAGAAATATATTGCAGTCGTCAAAGAAATCGCCATATCAGCGGAATGACGAAATAAACAAGAAATTCCGAACACAATTTTTTAGAACAACTATTTTACTGTATAAAAATGATATTTTCATAAATATAACTTAAAACCAGCAGGAGCACAACTCAAAAGCGTAACGGTACCGCGATTTAAGATTTTCCTGAATAATTCTTATATTATTTTATTGTTTGTTAATTTTACACCTTTACCATATTTTGCATACACTGGGGAACATTTGGTGAAAATTTGATTCAAATCGGACTGATATTGAGCGCGCAGTAGCGATTTTCCGCAAAACGCCAAAAAGGGTGTCCTGTAACCTTAAGATTTCTTTATGCTGAACCAATATGCATGCAGTATCACTTGTTGCGGTATCAGGTACAGTACTACTCTTCTAAACGGGCGATAATGACTTTAATAATTAATTTCATTGTTTTAATAGCCGTTTTCGTCAGGTTACCGTCCTACTTGCTTAAGGTCATCAGATGAGATCGAAGCTGGCAACGTCTAATTAACTACTATAAAACTTACGTAGGATCACATCGTCAGCCCCGACTCCAAATTATTGTTTCGTAAAAGGTACGTACATATACCTGGAAAAAACCATGAAATATTATAAACATTCTGGGGTTATTTATTTTAATAATGTATGTTTTTGTCCATATACTTTATAACGCACTAATTTAAGTAGAAACACTAGAGCTAAAATGAAATCGATGTTTAGAATCTGCTGTGCGTTGGACGTTGGGCCCCGCATATAAGAACCTAGAATTTAAGAACCATGCAGTTAAGCTAAAATATTTTATTTAAACCCCTCTTAAATAAGAACTTGTTCAGGCTAGAATTTCAAAACAGATTCTTATATTGATTTTTTTTCTGTGTTGGTGTTATCTACTCAGGTGAATATGATGTTTGTGATGTTACTCTGGGTGTATATCCACACCGGATGTACACTCAGAGTAACATCACAAGTTTTGATGGTTGAGCATTGGGCTAAGTATTCCAAAGGTCGTAGATTCGATTCCCACCGTGGCCAGGCATATTTTTCCAGCTTGCCCGCGGTGTGGATATACACTCAGAGTAACATCACAAAGACTCGTGTATTATCAAAATAGAGTCACACTTAACAATCTAGTGTAGCTTTAAATTGCTTATAGGATATATATATATATATATATATATATATATATATATATATATATATATATCATGGTATTTTTTGTCAAGTGTTTGTTTCACTTACGACATATCACTGTTTAACTCAATTACCTCGTATTCCTTCCACTCGCGAGTTACTAAACTACTGTCACATATAGTTTAGCTGCAGGCCTTGTGACCCTGCATGGACGCTTAAAAGGAAAGAATACACACAAGCGTCCATGCAGGGTCACAAGGCCTGCAGCTAAACTATATGTGACAGTAGTTTAGTAACTCGCGAGTGGAAGGAATACGAGGTAATTGAGTTAAACAGTGATATGTCGTAAGTGAAACAAACACTTGACAAAAAATACCATGATATATAGCTCATAGTGCATTATGCAGAAAGTACTTGCCGTGCTATTCGAGCACTCTATGCCATTTTATTATAGTTGAAAACGGTTTGCACCAGTTACTCGCATCCGGTCAATCCCCACAAGATGGGTTCATCCCGGGCAAGCTTTGTAACAGATTCTATAACCTGAAGGAAACAGGACAAATGCGGCACTTTATATATATATATATATATATATATATACCGGGTGGCCCAAAAAAAAGTACTCCTGTTTGATTCGTAATAACTTCTAAACAAGTAAAGTTTTTAAAGAGAAATAACTTGCATTAAATAGAGGAAGGACTAACTTAGATTTTGATATATTACAGTTGTATTTAACTTAAAAATTCACGGATATATTAATGTTAAAAATGGGGAGCATATTTTGGAATGGGTCTAAAATTAGCGAAAATCGGCATATCAAATATTAACTCCAGCGTTTGTTTGCTTAATGACATATTAGGCTAACTTGTATTTCAGCGAATTATCGTTAAGGTTTGTAAGGGATATGGCGTGGATTTAGACATCTTACATGTAAGTCTTAGCTCATTGTTTCCTGAAATATGAACGTTCGAAATTATGCAAGTATTTAATATTAGGTCTTTACAAACTTAAATGTACATGAAAGACTGACCATGGAAGGCAGGCGCTTAAATTTTTCTTATTCTTAAATAGCCTAATTTTTTTATGTTTTTAATGGGTTCAAACAGACTGAGTAGATTATTTCTCGGTTAGAGCAGGATGAATATTCTTTATTGAAGGAAATAATATTGCTTTTTGCAAATACACATCACCGTATCAACGCTACTATTTTGTTACGTTTTGTTCCAAAAATGTTGCATGTCTTTGGGGAGTTGCTTAATTGTTATGTCTTATGGAGTTGTATGGTTTGATTGTGTTTCATATAATTCTCAGTTTACTCCATGAACTTGCCAAGATTAAGAAACGGCAAAAGAGTTTGGGTGTTCTTAACAAGATTTCAGAACGTTGCAGAAGTTAAAAGAGCTTCACAATTCCGTTGTGACAGCATGCCCTAATTCAGAACTACGAACGATCCAATGACGATCCTTCGCGATGCAGTAGTCTCATGAAATAAGGAAACGTATTCGTGCTAGGAACACACGCGAATTTCGGACGAATGAATCTTGCTTGTATTTTGTAGATATAATAATACTTTGTTTCATAATAAACAATTTGTCAAGTGTCATTTATTTACTGGTAATGGTGCATGTTTCAGTCGGGCAAATCTTGATTAATATTTGATACGCCGATTTTTGCATATTTCAGACACATCCAGAAATATCCTCCCGAATTTAAAGATTAATATCTCCGTGAATTTTTAAGTGAAATACAACTGTAATATATCAAAGTCTAAGTTAGTCCTTCCTCTATTTGATGCGAGTTATTTCTCTTTAAAAGCTATACTTGTTTAGATGTTATTACGAATCAAACAGGAGTACTTTTTTTTGGGCCACCCGGTATATATATATATATACATATATATATATATATATACATATATATATATATATATATATATATATATATATATATATATATATATATATATATATATATATATATATATATATATATATATAATAAATACCTCCCTAAAATGAGTCGCTTTTCTCTAACGAAAAGCCCTGGGCAAACTAGGAAACATTGTTGCGGAAACATTTCTGATTCTCGATGTTTCCTCAAATGTTTCCATGTTTGCCCACCCGTGGAAACATTGTTGCGGAAACAAGATTTGCTTCCCGGGAAGCAAAAATGTTTCCCACGAAATTCAGAAACATTTGATGTTTCCCTATGTTCCTCACTAATGTTTCCTAGTGTTTGCCCACTCTGGGAAACATGGTGAAACATTGCTAGGAAACAATGTTGGAAAATCTAGGTTCCTGTATGGCGGGGTTTTATTGTATATTCAATTAATCTCGTTTATTGAACCCCTCAAAGTTGTCCCAAAAGGGATATAATTTTATCATATTCTGAATTATTTTGTATTGCTTTTGTTCTATGTTTTTGTTCAATGTTTCCTGGTGTCGCCGTGTATTTGTAGATCAGTTAATTCCTTGCAATGTCCTTTTATTAATCCTAGCGTTTTGTTGGCTTTGGCAACAGTCATTTCTACCGTAAACCTCCAACTATAAGCCCTGGGCTTATATTCTTTCGTAAGCGATTTTTGATGGGCTTATATACAAAAGGCGGCTTACATACGGGGGGGGGGGGCTTATACATGGACGATCTTTTGTGTTGGTGTAATAGTGATAAACAAGTGTTAATCATAGTAGTAATAGTGATTAATAGTGTCAATATAAGTGGGCTTATATTCGGGTGGGCTTATATTTGGGTGGGCTTATATTCGGGTGGGCTTATATTCGGGTGGGCTTATATTCGGGTGGGCTTATATTCGGGTGGGCTTATATTTGGAATGAGGTGAGCGTTAGTACATGTGGTGGGCTTATACACGGGGGGGGGGGCTTATATTCCGAGGTTTACGGTATGTTTTATGACCAAGACAAATCGTTTGAGACAATCACGCCAAGGTTTTTAATAAAAGGAACACATTTCCCTTCTTTACCATCCAAGTTGTATGTATTTCTCTTTAATTTTTTTCTCGAGGTCCGGATTACCCTTTTTGACTACGGAATTGTCAAACACAGCTTAAAGTGTCATTGCCAACCACAATGCATTGTGCGCCCAAACCTGCTTGGCGGCCATTTTGATGGCGGAATAACAGATTTTCGGCTTTCAATCCATAATATATTACTACCATCCTATGGTTGTACCAACCTCATGTGGTTGTACTTGCTGGAACTCATTTTAACTTTTCCATACTAAAATTGCACCAAAGAAATGTTTATAATCGTCATTTGTTGCTATTCGTCACTTCCGAAGGTATTAAAGATGTGAACAAATGCATTGTGGTTGACAATGACTCTCTAACAACTAAAACAATATCAATAATATATATTAGTATCAACACGTAAACAGTACGTTGGTGCTCAAATGTCAACATTGTTCTCTTGCACAATATCCTTGATCCGTAATGCTGCTTAGTGCTGCTTTCGCTGCATCTCTCTTTGGCTTCGCTTGAAAATTAGGAGCTTCAGGATTCGTTTCCACACTTAACAAGACAGCTTCGAACTCTTTCCAACTCAACTGACCATGGCCAATGCTCTTACTAAACCAACCAACCTTTCGAACTGCCCTCCCCACCACGGGGCACGGCTCAAGTTGAACTGCAATTTTGTCGCATTCTTTGCCAGATAATCTTGTAACTTTTCATCTTGATTCACCATATTTACCCACTTCGCGGCCGGTACAAACGTTGTCTCATTGTCAGAATAGATACGCTCTGGTCTGGGTGACCACGTCTCGCGGTGAATTTTTGAAGACTGCTAAGACCCTCTGATATCTCCATATTCGGAAGGAGATCAAGATAGACCACACGAGTAAAACTGCAGGCATATAACAAGATGTACGCCTTGCGCTTTCCTTTGGACTTTCGATCAACGCAGTGGGCCTGCATAATCAATTCCGATAACCTGATGATGATGACTTTAATAATGACTCGCTTTACCAATCTCCGTAAACGGGGAATCCAATGTCGTTCTCGAACTTTCACATCGTTAATCCACTAACTGTTATAGTCTTGTGAGAATGTTCGACAAACTTCCATGCTAACAATGATGAATCGGAAAAACCCTTGAACTCATCCTCTGCACTCTAAAACAACAACATCTTTGTTTCCTTGTAACTTAAGTTGCAACTGGGCTTTCATGATCAAACGAGTTTCTCTAAATCACAGGTTGTGAGAGGACATTCAATTCCTCGTTCTTTCGCACACCGAACCTTTCTGAGGAACCGTAATGACCAGGCTGTAATCTTCAAGGTCTTCCAATAAACAGACTTTGAGAGCAAGTTCCCTAGCTCGTCTTCTTCTTCCTTGGCCAAGGCAAACAATTGCTTCGTTAGCTTCACTTCAACATCGGACTTTGCACTGTTGGTCGCCCTTTGATCTGCTAACCAGTCGTCAAGTTTACCTAGCAAGAACCCTTCCATCACAGCTTATTTCCCTCTTTAATTAGCCCCCCACGGCTCGCAAAATCAGCGGGATATGTAATTTCCCCGTAGGCTTAGGTACTTACCTGAAGGGGAGATGTAGTTCTCCTATCTCCTTCGAAGACTGATACGAACAATGCGATCCCCACCATATGTGGAAGGACCTATTCACTAGTGACGCCTTCTTGATTTACGAGTCCTCCCCCCACCCAACTACTGACATGTGGAATGGACCTCAACAACGACACTCATTCAGAGGATAAATGCGCATGCGTTGGCTTGATTTATATTCGTGGTACCCAGACCGCTCGCGCCGAGATCTGCACTAGTATTGTGAGTATCAGTCGGAGAAGGAGTGAAGGAGAATTTCTCTGCTAGGTGCATGTCTCCATGTTACTTTCTCATGCTCACGAAATTTCTTGACAGGTTTAGCCACGAACGTTTTGTACTCTCCTTCGCCAAGTACGTATCCAGTGTAGTTCGACAATGCTACCTAGCCAACCAACAAGAGATGTTACTGGAAACCTTTCAAGGCACTGTGCACGTTGTCAAGCAAGTTTACTGCCATATGTGCAGAGACCAAGGGATTGTGAGTCCATGCTTTACAAGTCTCTGTTTCGAACAAACAAGACCTTGATTTACCTGAGTTTCCACAGCATACCTAACCCATGACCATTCCCATCACCAAGACGTGAAGTGTAAATAAGTGTTATGTTCTGAATGAGTTCTTGACGTCTTGACTTGAAGAGGCATTTAGGGCATTCGTCAAGCAGTTCTGCATCTCACTCGTACTTTTGCTCACAAGCCTCTCTGTGGGGAAGCTTAGGAATGAAGGAATGGCTTGGTTCGGTATCCTCCATGGTTACGCCTCAACTCTGGGTAACTATGTTGGATTTCTGACTGACAATAGCTCCCTGCGGTCAACCTTTGTTGCATTCACTGGGATAGTAAGTTGCTTGTAGTGTCACTGAACTTTTAGGTATGCAGATGCATATGATGTTAATTGTAGCACCAGTATCCAGAAGTGCATGCTCTACAGGTTATGCCGTTTGCTCTGACAGTGACAAACCTTTCGCTCTTCATGTGTGACTGTCAGCACTGCTTGACCTGGAGTTTGGTTCGGAGTAGTTTCTCGATGGTGTCTCCAATTGATGAATGATGCTTCTGCATGCAGTGAAAACAGGTGACTCTGCTTCGACACTGCGCTGCATTGCGTTTGGTTCCGTTACAATTGAAGCATAACTTCCAGCTTTCGTTTACGCTCTTTCGGTGTTAAACGTTTCTACAAAAATTTACCTTTCTTAGTAATGCTCGGGCTAACACCACTGCAAATAACATCCGCAGACTTCAAGCAGTATAAAATTTTCCTGTTCGAATTATTACTAAAACAAGAAAATTTGATCACATAACTCCCTTGCTGAATGAACTGCACTGGATTCCCGTTAAACTGTACTTGTTTTACCGTGACGCTGTTTTGATATTCCAATGTCTAAACGGAACAACACCTGAATCTTTATTTCTAAGTCCGCAATTTGTGAGGATAACCGACATTAGTGGACGTTGTACGAGTAGCTCAAGTTCTTTGAACATCCCCTTTTCAGGAGTGCAACTGGTCAACAGACATATTCTATTACCGCCCTGTCTCCTTTAAATATGGAACGAACTTCCAGAGAACATTAAATGTAGTTCATCAGTTAACATTTTTAAACATAAATTATGTAAATACCTTTTAGAAAATTATATATAGTAGCATTTAGCCATTAACAATTTTTAAATCCACCAATTAGTAATTAATTAGTTAGAATTTCGTGTTAATATACATGTACTGTAACTTTGGGTAGAGTTCGTTGGGTAGAGTTCAATAAATTATTGTGTTGTATTGTATTATACCATAGTATTATACTCGCAAGACTTGTGATGTTTATCGTGACAGTAAATATAGTAATGTACGTCTATTAATCATTAACAAACGTATTACGATTAGTTTATATTTAGAATATGGCATTATATATTCAGTTGTTTACATGTAGCCGAGATATCAAGAAGTCTATTAAATATCAGAACGTACATTATAATGGCGACGAAGATAAACGTATTCTATTAAACGAAACGATGGTGGAAGAGCAGGCAGAGCCTCAACCACTGCAGCAACCGGCTGTACAGATCATGCAATCTGTAACAATAACTCCAATGCCAGAATTCTGCCCAGATGCAAAAATCGGAACAAGCCTTTCGACAAGATGGAACAATTGGCAGTCCAATGTTGGCAGTCAGACTTTGAAATGTATATAACCGCAAGTGGAATAACGGATTCAAAGCGAAAACGTGCACTCTTGCTATATCAAGCTGGACCGAGAGTTCGCGAGATTTTTAAACAAATTCCCGAGACAGGAACTGATACGGACTACAATATCGCGAAGCAGAAATTAAAGGCTTTATACTTCGACCCTCAAAAGAATCGGCGGTACGAAGTTTATCGTTTTCGACAAACAACTCAAGAACACAATGAGACATTAGATCAATTTCACACTAGACTTAGAACAATGTCAGAAACCTGTGAATTCGCAGACGTTGAATTTGAAATCGAAGAACAAATCATTCTGGGCGGAAATTCATCGAAAATACGAAAGCGAGTACTTCGTGATCCTACATTTGACTTAAAATCAATGCTTTTAGAAGGACGTCGTGACGAACAGAGCAAGTACCAAGCTCAACAAATCGAATCTAAAGAACAAACTGACGGTGAGGCTAATAAATTAGAACAAAAACCTAGTAACGGTACCCTGGGTGCCAGAGGTTCTTCCACGCTCGTAGGGGGGATAATGAGGGATACAGGAGGATTCAAGCTGGGAGGCGGCGAGCGGGAAGAACCTCTGGAACACTTCTATGGCTTTTACTGTTTTAACTGTCACATGTCAATCAAACGTTAGCCAATAGGACACGTATTTATTTTTGACTGATGATGATTTGGGCGTGTTCAACCGAACATTTGAGCGATGAAAATTGCGACAGAATGTGTCAATTTCAAAACAAAAAATTAAAATTAGCGAGTCTTTATATAGTCTCCTACGCTACCGTGGCTCATTAGGGCCATTCATTAATACACAACACTTTTTAATATGATCGCCAGTTATAACGCGCAATCTCAACATATATAGCGCAGTTGCGGCAGATTGGCGCGATCGCCAATTATAATACGCGATCGAAACTTATGGCTCGCAATAGCGAGTTATAAAGCGCGATCGCAACTTATTACATGTGAATCGCGACTTATAATACGCGGTCGCGACTTATAACAAGCAATCGCGACTTATGATGTTTAAATCGCTACTTATAACACGCGGTCGCCACTGATTATGTGAAATCGCGACTTATAATGCGTGATCGTGACTTATAACACGCGATCGCGACTTATTATGTTTAAATCGCTACTTATAACACGCGGTCGCCACTTATTATATGAAATCGCGACTTATAATGCGCGATCTCGACTTATAACACGCGATCGCGACTTATTGAGGATGATTGCCGGGCGATTATATATTGCAAGTTGCAACATGCAATTATGTAAAGCCTTATTAATTGCATCCAAGATGGAGGAAAACGACGAGATTATGGATGACTTCCAGGAAGAAGACGTTGAACACGTAGGCGTTGGAAAGGTACAGCGTTATTAGTTGTTATCCAAATTGAATATTTTCTAGTATACGAAATAGGAATGCTTTCCTTTCTGACATAGGTTCTAAATTTCTTAAAATCAAGAAGTGTAAGAGCAAGTGTGATCAGTCGATTTCGTACAGAAAAGGTATGTACTGTACTGTAATTAAACGGCTGTAATTAAACACTGTAATTATTGATTAGAATAATCCTGACCAAACCTTATTCATTATTATATTAACCCCGAAGTTATTATTTTTATTTACAAATATTTCACTACGCTAACCCGCCAAACTCTGATTTTCAAATAAATGGTAACCCTTCAGTAAGTCTGATTTTCAAGGGGCCGTTTCTATTTACAAATATATTCATTCTAAAAAATTACTAAAAAATATATACACAAACAACACAATCATGCAAGTTTTATTAGTCGATAATATGCACAAGCCCACACTATATATATTTACTATATATCTATACACACTATATATCTATACCTGTATACAGTGTGGATTATAACGGTCGGCAATCGGCCATTTGCTGAACAAAAACAACAAATGGCCGATCAACTTTATTCTGGTCGGACATTTTGACCGATCAAATATATACAAAGATTCCATTACTAAAATTCGATTACGAAGACCCAATCAAAGTGCTCGGAGGCCGTACGCTTCCCGAAGACCCAGAACGGATGAAGAAGAATCGGAAAGTGAACTATCTTTTTCACTAAGTGACTGGGATACTTGGTTTGGCAACAGTGATGAGTCAGACGAATGAATTCAAACGATATAATCGAACATTAAATTCTTAAAAGTAGAACCTGTTGTGTTTATGCACAGTACTTTACACAAAGACGTTTATATTCCAGCCGTTATGTTCTATCTCCTATATAAAGAGTTAAGATTGACCATTTTACTTATGCATACACTTAGGCCTCTTTTACTGTACACAAGCAAATTTTCTTTGCTAAGGTTAGCTGTCAAGCTGTGACAAGTTTTATTTGCCTGTGTGTATGGAGAAATGTTGCAAGTACGTTTTTCTTTGACAAGTTTATTTGTTGCCATATATTTCTCCATCACACACCGGCAAATAAAACTTGTTAATTAAAGTAAAACTTGGCAAAGAAAATTTGCTCGTATAGACGATCTAGGCTTTAAGGCCTATACCGTCACCGATCGGCGAGGAACTCTGCTCCTGATTTAAATTTTCTACCATGTTTTGTAGCGAAATGTTCTAATATAACAAATTAACAGTTTTATTAAGATTTAAATCTCGCGCCGGCGCCGCGTCCTCGAATCGAGTGTGGTGTGTCCGTGTGTGGCAGCGTACATTTGTTCTAACTTTGTAGGTTTCTATATAGGACATTTCCATGTAAATAGAGATGTATGACGTTTGTGATTTCATGTCTTGTATTAACTTTCATCGATATAAATGTTTCTAAAGTTATCTCGTGCAGTATCGTGTACAAAAATATTAAGAAAGTTGGCCGACCATTCTTGGCAAATGTCCGACCAACTGACCAGTTGATCGGACATTTGTCCGACCAAAGCGAAATCGTTATAATCCACACTGCCTGTATATATTGCATAATTATGAGGATAAAATACTGCTGATGGAACTCCGCATCTCCTGGCTATAGCTATGTCTCGCTGTATACTGAAATATGAATAATAATAATAATAACAGTCTTTATTCATACTCAAGAACACCCGTCTGTGAGTTTACATTATAAAAATATATAAGATAAAATTATTGATATCTATAAGGTAATAACTAGATATATACAGTTATGGATAAAAATATTAATAATGTTAAAAGGTAAAGGTTAAAATTGGTTAAACAAAGTTAAACAAACATCGATAAACAAAAGAACTTTTAAATCGCTCTGTTCTCACTAATGGAAGTTCAAACTCGTGTCCCCTTGGCCTAAGGTGTCTATTTAATTTATCTGGTAAAAGCTCCTGTAGTGCATTATCTTTATTATGTATTACTTTATCCCAAAGTTTCTTGTCCCTTTTGATGCTTATCTCCTTAATATTCCATTTTTCCGATATGTAACCATTTCTGTGAGCGCGATTGATGAATTTGTCTATTTGACTAATGTATTTATTGAAGTATGCGCCTCCCCAAAGTTCTATGCCGTAAGTGATTATAGGCATAATTAAAGTGTTAAACAGCATGTCCAGTTGTTTGATTGGGAAGCCATAGTATTTACAGACACGCATTATGTACATTCTTGCACTGGCTTTTTTCAACATTTCATCAAAATGCAAATCCCACTTGGAAGGGAGATCTGTAATGTAATTCCTAAAATCTTTAACCACGTCCTTCGTTTAATAAATGGAAAAGGATCAGGCAACAGCGTAGGGATATTTCTCCTAACAATCATTTCATACGTCTTTTCCATATTTAAGGACATTCGATTATTTTCAGACCATGTTTGTATACTGTCCACTTTGGCTTGGGAATTATCTCCGTTTTCATTCCCTGGTACTTCTAATGTCATGTCATCCGCGAACTTAACTAACTGGTTTATGGGGTTAACTGTTTTGATGTCATTCACCATGATCGAAAAGAGGACAGGACCCAGAACTGTTCCTTGGGGAACACCTCGATTAATGTTCAAGTATTCAGTTTCTATTCCATCAACCACTACCCTCGCTCTGTTTCCTATCCTCCAGAAAACTAATCAGCCAATTAGTAACATATGGGTTGATGGGGAGCTTCTTAAGCTTCTCACATAAAATATCGTGTGGAACGCTATCGAATGCTTTGCGAAAGTCAAAAGATAATACTCTGACATATTTTGCATTTCCTTCTAACCATCTTAACCATGTGTGTTGGCACTTGATCAGAGCCATAATCGAATTGTGACCTTCCTTGTATGCAAACTGATCTGAATCAATAGCGTGTCTTGTAACATGTGCTATCTCAGTTTTGAACACACTTCTTTCAAATAATCTCATTATAATATCTGTTAAAGAGATTGATCTTAGTTGATTAAGAGAGTTTAAGATAGATTCTTTAGGTACTGGTAGTACATTTGCATGTTTCCACATTTTAGGAACTTTGCTAAGTTTCAATGAAGTGTTAAATATATTTGTTATGGTAGGAGCAAGCTCAAATGCAAATTCCTTCCAAAACCAGTAAGGTAGATCATCTGGCCCGGATGCTGTTCGTTTTAGATTTTGTAAAAGGTGTAGAGTAGTATTTATAGAGAGCGAAGAAACCCTGGTGCCATCAGGGATCTCGACAGGTTCTGGAGCCGCGTACTGAGGATCCGAGTTTATACTTTGAAAGTATACATTTATCTCACTAGGATCAAAGGCTGCACTGACAGATCGACTCCGATTATTTCTTCCTGTAATACTGTTCACATTGGACCACCACTGTTTTGATCCGGTTTTCTGATTTTTGTTCTCTTGTTTGACGGCATTTAAATGGTTCTCTCGAATTAGCTTGTTTATCTGGTCTTGTAAACGAGCGTGAGATTCGGAATCGCTCTTCTGTATAGCTCTTTTCCTTTGCTTTAGCAAATGCTTTACAAGGGGTGACATAAACGGTGGGTCACGTGAAGAGGTTCTAACCTTAATTAGTGGGAAACACTTTTCAAATATCGGCCACATCGTTTCATAAAATTTCAGCGTCATTTCATCTGGAGTTTGCCCATCCTTGGTTATTATATTCCAGTCTACAGTTCCTAATTCATATAACATATTTATTTTCTTATGTTGTCTTACATCTCTAAAGTAGGAATTTTTTCTTTCTGCTTTAATTACATCTCGGGGATAGGTTATTACCATATCATGATCAGATTTTACTAAGCTTTTCACTACTTTAACTTTTTTCCAATCGTGAGGAGCGTTCGTAATGAAGACATCAAGTATATTTTGACCCCTTGTGGGAACTTTAACAAGTTGGATGAGTGACAGCTGATTGAGCAGATTGCGAATATTTAATTTATTGATATCACCCGCAATGATTATTCTGGAGTTTGGTTTAACAGACAGTATTTGTTCGCATGTGTCTATCAAATATTCAATTAGGTCATTCTCATTATAATCGTGATCAGGAGGGTGGTATATAGTTCCAACATAGACATTCGAGTTTTGTGTGTCAATTTCCGTCCATAAACATTCAAACAGATTGTCCGAGTTTGGCATTATCTGCATTTTCCAATCATTTCTACAAATAGTCGCCACACCGCCCCCTCGACAGTTTGTTCTGTCTTTTCTTATGATAGAAAAGCCAGCGGGACAGACAAGATGATCAGGTATAATTGGTTTCAGCCATGTTTCAGAGATACAGCATATGTCAATGTCATTACACTTCAGATCCGCATACAAAGCGGGAAGGGCATCAGGTTTTACTAGGGATCTAGCGTTTAACACTAGACAACGCGGAATTATACGTGGTAAATTTAAAGCTGTTTTATCGATTTGTACAAATTTCAGAACACGATCACGCTGATGAGGTATCATACGAGCATGTTTTTTTCGTCTTGTAATTCTCACAGGAATTTTATTACTACGACAAGCTGACTGAGACATACAATTGGAACCATTTAAGTTCGTGTTAGCCGCATTAATTATGTTCTCGTAATTTTGCTGGCTAGGTCTAGATAATTCTCCCAGTCCGGAGGTCGATCTAGAGACAGTTTCGTCCGAAAATTCCGCTTCGGTTTAGTTTGTTTACTTTTGAAGTTTTTGCGACTACGGACTGTATTCCTTGATAAATGTTGGTTTCTCTTGTTTGTATTGAAAGTATTTAATTCTGTTGTTTGGGGGTTTGTAGGGACAGGTTTCATCCAATTGTGTGATCTATTGGGAAACGCAAGAGACTGTTTCTCTCGGTATTTCTTTAGCTGTTTCTTGAACGATGAGGATGTATTCAGCGAACTATCCGTCCGGTCAATGGCTATGTTAACCCCATCAGCTACAGTGAAATTTTCAAAGCCTGACAGAAAGTCGTCTGACTGGCTCCCAAGGGTGTTATCAATACAGTGAGCCTCTGGTGTTATGCTGGCTTCATCAATTGTAGTGAAATTTTTAATGCATAACGGAAGGTCATCTGGCTGATCGTCCGAATTAAATACACCAGAGAAACTTGAGCTCCCAAGGGGATTATCAATGCTATGGACTATTGATGTTATGCTTTTTTCATCAATCATAGCGTGATTTTTCATTTGCATAATCGACTGTCTCAAAGATTCATTCATCGCCTCACTTGACTTAAGTCTATTTTCAAGAGAGACAATGGTGTTATTTAATCCTTTTGAAGTTGGTTAATTTCTTCGCTCTCCCGCGACTTTTCGATTGCAAAAATCTTAGACTCCATATTTCTTTGCATGATCACCATATCAAGCTTAACCTCTTCAAGGTCTGCTGCCAGCAGCCTACATTGACAACCGTGCTCGAAATCATGCACTACATTACAAGGGAATGAATTTGATCTGACCTTAAACTTTTCTGAATGTACATCACTCTTGAAAGACTGATTAGGTATTTCTGTAGTCATATCAACAATCGAATCAGCAGTAACCGCGTTAGTATTGTTGTTATGCCTTTGCTCTATGACACTACGTATTGTCGGCATACAAATATTATCCGATAATTCGCCATCCTCAACTGCATTCGGTTTCGCCGTAAACTCATTTGATGTAGTTAGTGCCCCACACACTGTAATCAACGTATTTGCTAGAGCCAAACTTGCATCGCCGTGAAGCACAAGTGTATTTTGTTTTCTGGCATACCAAGTAATAGTTAAGTCCGAATTGAGGCACGTAAACTTTTTTGCATTACCACCCGGCGACGACCAATTGCCATGTAATTTAAGACCACATTCAACGAAACTTTGCAGCATGTCAAAGCTTCCAGACCACTTTATACGCTTTCTATCATACGTTAGGTTTGAGCAATCTTTATGATTGTATATTTGCTCAAACTTCCATTCATTTAGATTATTTTTATAACAATTTACAGAGCTCAGATTAGTACGACCGCGGGGCCATCAACGCCATGCGGTAGAGAGGAGACGAAAGTTGAAGATGTTGAAAAGACAGTGGCACAGACGTACATGGTCCAGAGGCGCGTTAACCTGGGCGTTTATCCAAACCATTTTTCTGCCTTCCGTCGCCTTTGTCGTGTGACTGGATGGGTTCAACGATTCGTTACAAACTGCACACGTCCAAGAGAATTACGAAAACGGAGCAGAACGCTTTGTTCAACTGAAATACTTAATGTAGAAAAGTGGTGGATCAAGCAAGCGCAAGGAGAAGCTTTCCCAAAAAGGAGAACGAGAAGGATGTTTACTGCGATTTAGTCCAAAGAACGGTGACGATGGTCTTTTGAGGATGGACGG